AGTGAAAGACACTGTGAAAAATTATAATGGTTGTGAGGCAGATGTGACTCATGTTGGAATTGCAAATTTGATGCTTTCTTTAGGTAAATTACTAACTCTGAAATATGTTAGAGTAGTACCTTTACTCAAAAAGAATTTGATATCTATAAGTTTACTTGATAAATCTAGCATGTCTTTCTCAACTATGAATGATAGAGTAACTTTATCTATTAGCTTATGTTATTTTGGCTATGCATTCATGGTTAATGGATTGTATAGGTTGAGCTTAGATATTGAGAGCATAAACCATGTGAGTTCAAATTTGATTGATCCAAAAAATAATAGACTTGGACATGTGAACTACACGAAAATGCAACATCTAGCTAAAACTCACGATATTCCATTGGACGCCTCTATTCGATTTGACAAATGTGAAGTATATGCACAAACTAAGATCACTAGAAAACATTTTACGTCGATTTCTAAAAGCACACTGGAATTTATAAGAGATGAACGATCGCAAGATATATGCTGGAGAGATGCGACTATTCGAAAACGAAGAGACGCGACTATCCGAAAACGAAAAGACACGATTGTTCGCAAATGAAGAGGTGCGACTGTTCGAAATGAAAAGACACGACTCTTCCAACTTCTTATTCATAACCTATTTATACAACACAATTTTGTAAACTTCAAAAGCGTTCTGCTTTTCTTTGATTTTTTATTTTTATTTTTTTTATACACAAACTTCTAATTTTTTCCAAATATTTAGTGAATTTCAATGTATAGATAAGTTTTCAAATACCATTTACTGGACACTTGTTACAATCTATATATGATTTTCGTAAGTTTGCATACTAAATGCCCATTATTGAGATAAGTTTCGGCTTTAACAAATGTTTTTATATATGACTTCTAATGGTTGATTCACAACACATCGTTTATATAAAGTTATCATGGATATCATTGTCGATAATGTCATTTTTAAATTTGCTATTGAGAATAGTATGGGCATTTTTATATTTAAACTTGAGAACTAACCATGTGAAAATGACTTCTAACTAAGAAAGACGAAAAAGACCACGAAAGATCTAGGTGATGAGACAAAATAAAATGGAAAGAAATAAAAAAGTATCATATTATAGTTTACATATTCATTATTGAAATTGTTATGGACCTGACAAAGACTCACGTTCTAAAATGCCCAAAAAGGGCTAACAGCTAAGAGGTAATTAAGGAAATATTCATTAATTATACTAATCCTGTTACGATAACAATGAATCAACAACTGGATTTTCAATATTCCTAAGAGGAACAAAAGTCCACAACTGCCAGGTAATCCATCTATAAATAAAGGGTTAAGTCAATAAGGTTCACATGTTCAAAATCCTCTATCTTTTAACTGTCACCGTGCACACACCTCATCCCTTGGCTATGTCGTTGTTATTATTGTTATTATAGTACACAGTGATCTGCTATTTTATTAGGTACCACCTCCTTAGGTATCTGAAAGAGGATATTCAGATTTAATATTGACGTACTAGTCACAAGATTAGACATATCTGTTCCTAGGACATAACAGAAATAAAATAAAAATATATTTCATTGCATAAGGAGAGAATGAAGTTGTAAAACTTATAACTTTATTATTCTCATATTACCATGCTTTGAAAAACACATACCAGTTGGAATTTCTCTTTGCAAAATCAGAACATGATCCACTAGCAAGTACACATTGATATTTTAGTCCCGTTGCAGCCAATTCTATTTACATCTTATTATTTTGTTTTATTATTTTTATATATTGCCAACTATATTATTATAAAGTAAAATAATATGAATATACGAGCTTATCGTTTATTAATTACATAACGATGGTGGAAATAAAAAAAAATGAAAGTGGCAAGCAATATTTTCGGATAGGTGAGGAAAAAAGTCTCCCTATAACTAATTTCAAGATATATCTAATTCCAAGATAGGCGAGCAGAAAGTGTCCTTAACCCAGGTATGGTTAGCTCAGCATCAAGTCCCTAATATCGTTTCATATTATGGACACCCATATATCCGTTATTTTAGATTTTATTCATGACTAACATTTAATTTTAACCAAGAGCTAAGTCCAAATAAACCACCAAGCTACACATAGCTCAAATGCTTTTGCATTTGGCTTAAATTATGCAAAAATTTCATCCTATGTCCAAGATACAAGAAAGCAATGAACTTTGGACCTAGTTATATAAGGACACCAAATCAATCCGGCAAGTGTTGATGTTACTTCATCTCGGTCTCCCACTTCGCATAGTACCGAGTTGGGGGCTTCTGTTCTGTATTGGTCCATGGGCCCCACATAAGACCTTTGCCCACTCCCATCCACTCCAAGACAAAGATGACACAATCAGTAAATATCGAATCAAATAACAACTTGTGTAAGGAAATCTCCCATATACATGACCCCTTGGCCCCTTACTCACATCTCACCTGCTACACGCTGACATACATAAGCAAGGGGGTCTTGATCCTCATTAAGGAGGGAGCCAGAGAGGTATGTTTTTATCCACACACATTCTATTGGATTCACTTGAGTGCGGAGTGTCTACAGCTCATGTTATTAAAAGTGGACTGCACGATTATTGACCAGGTCAAGATAATGGTCATTGAATCACTGGTTTGATCGGTAGATAAGTGATTGAATTGCATGACCGAATTATTATACGTAATTTTATAATTAATATTTAAAAATTATAAATATATTTAAATATTTAAAAAAATAGTAAATATTTCAAATATTTTTATATAATAAATAATAAATAATAAATAACATATTATTATCCAATAAAGGATCAAACAAAAATATAATGATCGTGATACAGAGCTTCAGGTTCAGTAAACGACATTTCTAGCTATAAATCAAATCAAAATTTCTTGTATAGTGCATAATTGAGATAATATTAGTGTGTTGATACATAACTTATATAAGTCAATAAGCAAAAAATGTTCAAATATGTCTATTATGATTTTTTTTTTTAAAGTTCGGGCTAGGTCACCGGTTAACCGACCAGATCATCAATTTTCATGAAAACAAATCGGGTCGCACCGATTCTGATACATAACTAATGTATTACTTCACCCAAACCGGTTATATGATCGATTTACGGGTTCCCAAATCAATCCGGACGATACAATTTTATTAACATTGGTCTACAGGTACATCATGCCCCTCTTACCTAAACGCGTGGAGGAGCCGCCTGCTACTACCATCTAATCTTTGTCCATGAAAATTCAATCACAACCTCTCAATATATATGTTAGGAACGCCTGTTTGAACAATTAAATATGCAACCACAGTAGAAATAACAATTTTGCCACTTTTTGTCTTGTAAATTATGTTCTTTTCCTTGTCATGATCACCCCCTAAAAATTGAACCTAAATATAATTGAAATTGAACTCTAAATCTTTGAACGGACTAATTTAATTAGGGAAACTACTGTTACATATAAGGATTAATTGTATAGCTGATTTACCACATTAGACTCTTCTTTTCAGTATTCTTGTAGTATGTACTCTTTTATAAAAAAGAAATTAAAAAAATGAGATTTATATAACATTAACCATAAAAGGGTGGGTAGAATAAATAAATAAATGTATTTTTTTTTCAATTTAAGTAAATAATATACTTACAGTAGCCTGAAAATATTTTCCCAAATTAGCCAAGCCACCATCAACTTGAAGATAGATCAATTCGATGAACTTGATAAAGCATTGCTTCGATAAAGTCTAAAATGGATGGTTAATTATTATATTTATCCTTTAAGCATGTGGGATATTTTTTTTCTTGGATATCAAACAAATTATCTCTTTGTGACAAGTATGTTCATCCGAATATCTCCACAAGTTTAAGTTCTTTGAGGTGGCTACGAGACTAATCTCGAGTGCAGAGCGAGTAAAAGATTAAAACTTTATGTCTATTCCCAATATAGCAATAGTGATATTCGAATAGAAGTTTTTTTTTCACCCACTCAATTCCTTTACACCAATGAAGCTGTAAATATTGGATATAAACACACATTAAAATGCACGAATCTATATATACGCACTGTTTTGCATGAAATTAATATAACATGTGGTGGGTCCTTCGAGTGCGACATTCTTATGGTACGATGAAAGAGTTTCATAGCCGCCACTTTTTCTTTTCCTTTTTTTTTTCAAAGAAAATTTAAGCAAGTTGTTTATATCAGAGGTTGAGTGGAGAACAAAACCCCATATTTTAATATAACAATGCATGGTAGTGTTGGAAATAACGCCGCAAAAGTATTAAACAAAGAGTGGGAACGATTGGTTAATATTATGGTTAATTGTAATCATAGCACCTATAGTATTTTGGTAATGAACATTATTTTTACTTAGAATAGTTAATTAGAAGCCAATGAGAATTAATTCAGAAAATAAGTATCATAAGTCATAACGTTTCGCTTAGGCCATATATTTCTTAATAATTTTATTTTTGAAAAAAACTGCAGTCAACAATTTAAAACATCCGTACGCTTCACGTCCCCTGAGGAATGAGACCAACTTGTGAAATTGCAAGTGGAGTGTTGTTATGTTCTGGACAAGTCTCCTATGAATCTAAAAACACTGAAGTTTATTAATTCATGTTGAACCTATCTCGTCCAAGGTTGCTACATCTCCAATTTCGTGCGATCTTATATCATATTGCAACTCAAGCTCTTCCTAGTTAACCAAATCGCCATCGTCCGCGTGGTGAGTCTTGAGTAAACGAGGAAAAAGTCTATTATGTACTGTTTGGAACACCATATGACATTTCAAACCTTGACGGGTCGTGTGTCCTATTGATCAGATTCCACAATTTTTACCATTCAGCATTCTTAATTTGACTATGTCCTCCCTCCATACTTCTTTGAAGTTAAATTGAGAACAAATCAAATATCATGGCGGTGTCGTGCCACTATAAATAGCACCATGAGCAGACCTATATGACAAACCAAGCAAACCTGAATGTTTCTTCAGTTAGCATAATTTCCTTGTTGCATAATACTTTCTGCCCAAAAAAGAAACTACAGCCTTTGCTTTCAGCTTTTTCTTTAGCATTAGTCTTTACACAAGAGAGTGTATATTTTGTGCACACAAACCTCCAAATCGCCTTTCAAATATATACATGGAGAGAACAAAGTCATCCGTTGCACAAATTCAGGCTCCTACTTATGGAAACTTAGTAACCGTTCTTAGCATCGATGGGGGTGGTATTAGGGGCATCATTCCTGCAACCATTATTGCTTTCCTTGAATCTCAGCTTCAGGTATATATAAAATGAACCTATAGCATAGTAGATATTCTATGTAAGTATATTTTTTTGTATCAGCTAGCTAATCCTCACTAATTAGGTATACATATATATTTTTGTTAACAGAACCATGACTACTAACTAATACTAATCCTATTATTAAGTCCTAACTCATGTCATTCATGGGGAGCCAATAATCTAAGAAAGTACAAGATGTTACTTGACTTAGTTATAGCAAATGAAGATTACAATGTATTATTCGTGTAAACAAATTAAATAGTAATATTACATTATTTTATTATTATTTTGAAAGAATAATTTAATTGATCATCTGGTTGTGGGACATGCAGGAGTTGGATGGTGAGGATGCAAGGCTTGCAGACTATTTTGATGTGATATCAGGAACAAGCACGGGAGGTCTTGTAACCGCTATGTTAACTGCTCCTGATCAAAATAGTCGTCCACTTTTTGCTGCCAAAGATATCAAGCCCTTTTACATGGACCACTGCCCCAAAATTTTCCCACAATATAGGTAATTAATATTGTATTGAAGGATCCATCTCTTCCTTTATTTTGTTATATGTGCTTGTAATCTGATGTATAATAATAATTGAGAAATTAAAGGTTTTGGGGTTCAATTTGTGGCAGAGGATTTTGTGGGACAATATTAGCAAAGGTAGTAAGATCTCTGGGAGGACCCAAATACGATGGGAAATACCTGCATGGGGTCGTCAGAGAGAAACTTGGAGACATTCGCTTGCATGAGACTCTCACCAACGTTGTCATTCCCACCTTCGACATAAAGAGCTTGCAACCAACTATTTTCTCATCTTATCAGGTTTACTTCTCTCTCCTCGCCTCGTCTTTATTTGCTTTTCACTCACTGGTGAAAGTGAAATGAATCTTCTTCCAACTTTCGTGCTGAGGGGTGGGGCCTATATTTATTTGACTCCTTAGGAATGAGCATCCAGCACTATCTCAAACAGGAGATAATTTATTGTGAACCGGGATGACTATTTCTTAGGTGGTACCTTAGTGTAAATAGGAAGGTAAAATTAGAAAAAAAGAAAATTAATAGGGGTAAAAAAAAATAAAAAAATTAATGATGTGAGAGGGAGCACCAAAAAATTCAGTAGTCTTGGACCATATTAATATTTCCTTCAAACATAATAATTGTTATACTAAGATAAAAAGGAAATCATTTTTTCATGTTATTGGATATTGCTTTTTTATGTTGCGAGACATCGAAATTCGTGCTATTTTTTTTTAACAAGTGGTGTGACCTACCACTTGTTGTGTCTATAGCATGAGAGATGTTATCTCATGTGAAATGAGAAAAGAAAAACTCATATTGGGCTTTATTAATCTCATGTTGTAGGAGAGTAGTTCTCTCCTATCGTAGAAACAATCATGGGTAAGGCCCACTTACTTATAAAAAATAAAAAAATACAAATTAAATTACACGAAAATCAATGGATGTGTAAAAAAGAGATATTATCTTATGTTGCAAAAGAATAATATTTCTCTTTTATAATATATACTTATATATTTTATGTTGTTAATTTAAAAAAAAATACTTTTATATAAACTTACATAAGACTTAAAGACAATGATTATATTTTCAAATAATAATAATAATAATGATTATGATTAACAGAAGTTAAAGAAAAGTCAATTACTAATTCAATTTATTAAAACCAATTCAATGATCAAAACAAAGCCTAAAAATATTTGAAATTCATGCAGCTGAAGATGAACCCCTGCCTGGATGCTAAACTCTCAGACATATGCATCAGTACATCTGCTGCACCTACTTATCTACCTGCTCACAACTTCAAGAACCATGATTCAAAAGGGAACATGCACGAATTCAACCTTATTGATGGTGGTGTTTGTGCAAATAACCCGGTATGTGTAAAAATTTACTAACTATTTGTTATTGGAAATTTTATTAAATTACCAATGACTATATACATTAGAATCATCGCTAATTTTTCTTTTATTGGGGAACTTCATGTTGCAGACTTTAGTTGCGATCAACCAAGTGACAAAGCAGATTATTAAACAGGATCCTGATTTCTTTCCAATAAAGCCTATGGAATATGGTCGGTTCCTAATAATATCAATAGGGACAGGCACAGCAAAAAATGAGGAAAAATTCAATGCACAAATGGCAGCCAAATGGGGTCTATTGGACTGGCTAACTCATAGTGGTTGTACTCCCTTAATCGATGTTTTTACTCAATCTAGTGCTGACATGGTCGATTTCCATTTATCCACTCTCACTCAAGCACTTCATTCTGAAGATAATTACCTTCGAATTCAGGTATATTAATTCCTAAGCATATAAATTCTCCCTTGATAATTAGAAATAACATATAAACATAATTGAAATATGTATTAAGCATAAATGATCAAATTTGTTCAACAACATGCAGGATGACACATTGACCGGAACAGATTCTTCAGTTGACATTTCTACAAAGGACAACTTGGATAAACTTTGCCAAATTGGTGAAAATCTATTAAAGAAACCAGTCTCTAGGGTCAATTTAGATAATGGTCTATTTGAGCCACTTCAAAAAGGGGAAACCAATGAAGGTGCTCTCAAAAGGTAACATTAAAATAGACGTCTTCATTATTAATAGTAGTTCATTTAATTAAGATGCATATTACAATCCAGTGACACATTTCAATTATCTATTTATATTAATAACATATCTGGTTTTATTGCTTTCAGGTTTGCAAAAATACTTTCACAGGAGAGGAGACTCCGTGAAATGAGATCCCCACACACTAAAAAGGCCTTCTAGTCCCATTTCCTCGTCTTATATTTTGCAGAGGCATTTGATTCCATCATCTTCATTGATTCAATTATTGTTCAGATTTGTTGCTCATAGAACAAAACAAGTTTTAGGTAGAGGTCAAAAATAGAATCGTTGATTAAAAAAATTTGTAATTTCAGTATTTATTTATTTATTTAGTTTGCGAGCTTATAGATGTATCAGTTGTAAATCTACTGACAGTAATAAATTCTCACTCTCGATTCGATTATTATTCTTTAATTCTCAGTGTAAAAGTCAGATTGGCACTCTTTTAGAATTGTGTACAAAATTTTAAAGAATGAAGCTTTCCATCTACTCACAATTGTGTAAAAAAGCTAGAAAAAATTATTTACATGATAAGTTATACAACTAACTATAGTTAGAAGCGAATTAATTACACTAGTTTTTTTTTTTTTTGATAAACATTAATTACACTAGTTAACTAAGTGGAAGCTAACTAAAAGCAGTTAACAGAAATTATCTAACTATAATATAGCTCGTTTTATATGTCGTCTTGAATATAAAATTCATAGAAATTATAGTTTGGCAGATGTATGTAAGATTTACAATACGGTCAAATGAAGAAGATAAAAAAATACTAATATTTTCATAGTAAACAAAAATAATAAAGATTTCTCCACCTAAATTCTGAAATTATTTCTCAAAATGAAAACAAGTGATCGAGGAAATGGGATGGCTTCACGCGTCCCCTCCTCTGTTTGCATAGGGTTCGAGAATCTTTTTTTAAGACTAGGGTTCAAGAATCTACCCCAATTCCTTGTTTCTCTGTATGCAAGGACGTTTTAATTTGGTTTCTCTAACTCTGTTGGAGATTATATGTAACAGTATATTGTTTGAATTCTTTGTAACGTATATTGTTTGAATTCAATTCTTTGTAACGTATATTGTTTGAATTCAATTCTTTGTAACCGTAGGTTTAAATTCTTTGTAACGTATATTGTTTGAATTCTTTGTAACCGTAGGACTGTTTAGATAGAGTATTTATTTGTTTTAGTCTGTTACGTTGTTACCATTTATTGTATGTTCGCCTATTTGAAGGCTACCAATGAATGAGATAAACACACAGTTGAAATATCAAGTTTATCTTGGTATCAGAGCAATCCTAGTATACACGTTTCCGCATTCCCTTTCAGTGCGAAAGCTGGTTCATTTAACATGGCACCAGGTGGTGGCAGCAAGTCCAAAACAACTGATCCTAGTTCGCCATTTTACTTGGCTGGATCCGACAGTCCAGGTCTCTTGTTAACGACTGCCATGCTGCGTGGTGAGGCCAACTATGACAACTGGGCCAAGCTCATGAAAAACGCATTGAAGGCGAAAAACAAATTGGGTTTTGTGACCGGTTCAGTCAAGAAACCAGGAGAGGATGATGCCGAAGAGTGGCGCGCCTGGGAGATGTGCAATTCGATGCTCAATGGTTGGATTCACAACACCATTGATGCAAAACTTCAACCATTCATCAAGTGCTTTGATGACGTCAAGGACTTATGGAATGACCTAGAGGAAAGGTATGCAGTGCAAAACTTTCCAAGACAGTATCAACTGAAATCCAGTTTAGCCAATATCAAGCAACATGGAGATAACGTTGGTGATTATTACACCAAACTCAGGGCTGTATGGGACGATCTGGAAGGAAGCAAAACTCGCAAGTCTTGCGATTGTGGTGATAAGTGTGTCATTGCCAAAGCAATCGAGGAGGAGCAAGAGCATGATCGCGTTTATCAATTTTTGATGGGGCTGGATGAATCTACATTTGGCAATCTGAGATCCCATATCCTCAACACTTCTCCTCTTCCTAGTGTCAACAAAGTGTACGCAATTGTCACTCAAGAGGAGACCCATCGTAGTATTTCTCGCGTTCAAGATGAGAGGAGTCAGGTAGTGGGATATTCAGCCCAAACCGATTCCATGAAGCAGTCAGACACGTCCATGCAGCAGCGGATGGTTCCTAACAAACCACAAGACAGAATACCTTGCCCTCATTGTGGCAGGACCAACCACGACCCTTCCAAATGCTGGAACGTTCATGGTTTTCCACCAAACAGGAGTGCTGGTCGCGGACGAGGAAGGGGAGGACGTTCGGCAGGACGTTATGCGCATGCTCATGCGACGTTTGCAATGGATGCCTCACACCCAGTTGCTGCTAACTCTCTTCCTCCAGACATCTCCCATTCTGCCTCTTCTCAAGTTGCTGCACACTCCGTTTTAACCCCAGAAATTGTGAACAAACTGTTAACATTGGTAGACCAGCCTCAGTCACATGAAAAATTATCTGGTAAGCGTATTCATTCTCAATGGCTCATTGATAGTGGGGCCTCACGTCATATGACAGGCACTTTGGCTTTATTAGCTGACATTACACCTATTCCCCCTCTATCTGTGACTCTACCAAATGCTTCTATTACTTATGCTGCAAAACAAGGCTCGATGGTGTTTAATACAAACTTCAGCTTGTCAAATGTTTTATATGTGCCTAACTTACGCTGCAATCTCATCTCTGTTTCCTAATTGCTTCACTCCAAGAGCAGTAGCGTTACATTTACTGATAAAAAGTGCATTTTGCAGGACCAAGTGCTGAAGAGGGAGATTGGTTTGGGTGAACTTCATGAAGGAGTCTATGTGTTTCAGCCTTCATGTGCTTCAGCTTTGGCAGTTCAAGCAGGAGAGTCAATTGACTTGTGGCACAACAGGCTAGGCCATGCATCCTATGATATCTTATCTCTGGTTCCAGAATTTAAAGCTTTGCAAAATAAAGTAGTATGTAAGGCATGTGAAGTTTGTCATCGTGCCAAGCAAACTAGATCAATGTTTCCTATAAGTTTTTCTCGCAGCAAAGAATGTTTTGATTTAATCCATTGTGACACTTGGGGTCCTTATCAAAATTCTTCTTCTTCTGGTGAACGTTATTTCTTAACTGTGGTGGATGACTATAGTAGGCATGTATGGGTTTTTATGTTGGCCGATAAAAGTGAAACTTGTGATTGGATGTGCAAATTTCTTGTTATGGTTCTGAACCAATTTGGTAAAACCGTAAAAATAATAAGGTCTGATAATGATACTGAGTTCAAATCTAATAACATGGTGAAACTCTTGAATGAAAAAGAAATTTTGCAACAAACAACTTGTGTTTATACGCCTGAACAAAATGGGAGAGTCGAAAGGAGGCATAGACACATCCTTAATGTATCACGTGCCTTACTGTTTCATGCAAATTTCCCTGTTGATTTTTGGGAGGAGAGTATTCTTGTTGCTGTTCATATAATTAATAAAACACCTACAAGAGTTCTCCAAGGCAGGTCACCACATGAAGAATTGCATGGAGTTAAACCAGATTATACATACTTGCGCACGTTCGGTTGTCTGTCATTTGCTAATACAAGACCGAAACCAACTGACAAGTTTGCTCCACGTTCGCGACGATGTGTTTTCATCGGATATGCAATAGGGCAGAAAGGTTGGAGATTGTTTGATATAGAAGCGCAACAAAGCTTTGTGTCCAGGGATGTAAATTTTTTTGAAAATATTTTTCCTTTTCGCGAAGCTCCAGTACAATCTGTTTCTGCACCAAATTCTCGTGTGCCTACAGAGCCAAATTACTTTGACGAAGGCCAAATTGTCCATGACGGTTCTGATGCATCAAATGACAGCCCAACGCCTAGTGGATCATGTGTTCCTCTGGACGATAGGGGGAGTGTTTCGCTGGAAGCAACACCAACTAACGAAGTTGCCGCTAGGGAGTCCTCCTTACTAGAAAGAAGTTCGAGTTCTAGTGATGCATCAACCCAACAGCAGTTGCTGGAAGCAAATCTGCGTCAAACAGTCACACGCCAGCACCGTACCAGGAAGCAGCCATCTTATTTGCAGGACTATGCATGTCAAGTAGCTGAAACACACACTCCTTCATCTCTCCCTACTCAAACCAATGTCACCTCAGGTACTCGGTATCCTATGTGCAATTATCTTAGCCTCACTAACTTTTCTAAGCAACATCAAGATTTTGTTGCAGCTATTGACACAGGTCATGAACCACGTACATTTCAAGATGCTATGAGAGACTCCCGATGGGTGGAAGCCATGAGGGCTGAAATCACAGCCTTAGAAGACAACCATACATGGTGCCTCACGGATTTACCTCCAGGGAAGCGTGCTCTTCCAAGCAAGTGGGTGTTTAAAATAAAATATCGTTCTGATGGAACGGTGGAACGGTATAAGGCAAGATTGGTGATTGCAGGTAATTATCAGATTGCCGGAGAAGATTACAGTGAGACTTATGCACCAGTGGCAAAGATGGTGAGTGTACGTACATTGCTTGCAGTGGCTGCAGCAAGAAACTGGGAGTTGCACCAGCTTGATGTTCATAACGCATTCTTGAATGGAGAAATAAGTGAGGAAGTTTACATGAGATTCCCCCTGGATTCAGTACTGGGTCTAAGCATAAAGTATGTCGTCTTACAAAGTCATTGTATGGTTTGCGCCAATCACCCCGAAACTGGTTTTCCAAACTCAGCAGTTCGTTGACGGCATATGGATTTGTTCAGTCAAAAGCTGATTACACGCTCTTTACTATGCAAAAAGGGGAGGTGTCTCTTGCACTTTTAGTTTATGTCGACGACATCATCTTAGCAGGTAATAATTCACATGCTTGTCTTGCAGTCAAGGAGTATCTGAATCAGTGTTTTAAAATAAAAGACCTGGGTAGTCTGAAATATTTTTTGGGTATTGAAATTGCCCGCAGCAAGAAAGGAATATTTTTATGTCAGCGTAAGTATGCCCTGGATATTCTTTCTGATTCCGGGCTCAGTGGATGTAAACCGGCGATTTCCCCCATAGAACAAAATCATCGTCTTGCCTTGGATGACGGACCAGTATATGAGAACCCTGAACGGTATAGAAGACTCATTGGTAAGTTGATTTACCTCACTATCACAAGACCCGACCTGAGCTATGTTGTTCATATCCTTTCTCAATTCATGCATTCACCGCGCCTAGCTCATTATGAGGCTGTTCTCCGGGTTATTCGATATGTAAAGAGAGATCCTGGTCAAGGACTTCTCCTCAAATCGGATTGTGACCTAAAAATTCATGCCTATTGTGATTCGGATTGGGCTTCATGTCCTCTTACCAGACGATCTCTCACTGGTTTCTTTATTATGTTGGGTTCTTCACCCGTATCCTGGAAGACCAAGAA